AAAGAGATCCAGAGGACGAACAAAAATTTAAAACAGAAAGGAACCGTAAAAATCAACGCATTACCAAAAACTTGCAGACGTTGTTAAAAGCAATGGGTCAGTTTTTGATTTTTCAAAATAAACGAAGAGGCAGGGGGGAAAACAGGGAACCGAAAACGAAAACCGAAATTGGATTAACATTACGATGAAAATCAACACCTTAGAGTTCCGATTTTAGGTGAGTATATCATAATTTCTCACCTAAACTAATCCGATTCCGTCAAACCCAAGCCCTAAGGCGCACAAGAAAAGCTCGCTGTTTTCAGTTCTGAAGCTTCGAAAAATGCAAATCTATTCCTAAAATCCAACTAATAACGACATTTCAGAGCAGAGCTTCGATCTGCAAACATGGCCACAAGTACAAACTCATGCACAATCTAGCAGAGAGTCCAGTTTCAAAATTCGGCGATTTTTTTTCCGGAGAAATGTATCTGCGGATGCGAAAAAAAAAGAAAAAAAAAACACAGCCACAAACAACTTAACACAGAGGCGAACACGAAATAAAGGAAAAGAACAAAACTCCTCCTCTGGCTCAATTCCAAACCTCCACAACAAGAAATAAGAAACTATCAAGCACCTTTAAATATCACAAATGAAGGAACGAAACCTTCAGGAGAAAATTAGCAATGTGATTCTGACAAATTCTGCCAAATCCTCCTCAAACACACCTGCAAATAGAAGAGAGAAAAAAAAAACGAACAGAAAAAACAAAGTCGAATTAGCGATTGAATTCTACTCCACATCCAGAGAGAAAAACAAAAAAGATGAAACAGAATTGAAGAAATTGCAGTCGTTTATCTACACGAAACCTTATTCAATGTTCAAAAGGTAGAAGATCCTCAACATTCACCGTTCACTAATCAGAATTTGCGTCAAAGTTTGGCTTAACAGAACGGTGGAAACAAAGAAATTAAAAAAGTTTTAGAGAAACAAATTAAAACAGGGGAAAATAGGTATAAGGTGTTTTTCTTCTTCTTCTTTGTTCTCAGTGATAGAACGAAATGCTTTGTTTATATACATCTTCTGCCACGCTCCGGTAATTTCTGACCGTAGATCAGTGATCTGACGGCTATCGCTTACCCTCGCTTGAACCATTCATAGAAACCCGTTACGTCGTTTATGCGAGCCTTTCTGCCGTTTAATTAGTCTAACGACGTTACCCCATTTAACGGAATCTGCAGAGCCGTCAGATCCCGATTATTTATTACTGCTTTTTTAAATTGTTTTTGATTTATTTTACTTTCGGAGTGGTTCATTCTCGCGCGCAGAAATGCCGGGTACAGCAAGTTAGTTAACTAGGGTTAGTTGACCAGATGTTGGTTAGTTCTATTATTACATTTAGTCATATACTAAACTAGAACCACTACCAGAACATGTTTCTCTTCGGTCTTCATTTCTGTGATGCAACGCAATCACTCATCAGATGTTGGGTCTTACTTTTGTTTATTTTATTTTACGTATATACGTTAAAATTGATTATAATAGGAAGCAATGTTTGAGTTGAGAGGACATGTCCTTGCCACTGTGTTTGATAAAGAAAAAAGAAAATAAATAAATAAATAATAGAGTAAAAATTAAAGATGTTTAATAAAATAATGAAGAAAAAAATCAGTCATTTTTTAATTAATTTATATAAGATTTGTTGAAAAAAAAAACTTGAAAGAATAAAAAAAAATTATAAAAAAAAGAAGATTTGTACAAAATTTATTTGAAGTGTTTGGTTCACATGTCTGCCTACAATATCTTTATTATCTCAACTAGACAGACTTGTGCCCGTGCGTTGCACGGAAAATAAATTATTATAAATAAATTTTATTTTAATAATTAATATAAAAAAATGTGAAAATTAATTGAACTTAATGTAACATGAAAAAAAATATCTGAATATACAAATAAAATGACAATGATAAACGATTGAAAACATGATAATATGAAATATTAGGAAAACTAAATTGCATTGTGTCTCGGCTTCAAAAAAATCAAAATTTACAATATGAGTTAATGCATTAACCTGAAAAAAAAACCTTATAATTAACTTATAAGAGGTGTAATATTAAAATGCTATAAAGATGTAGTAATTCAAATAAAAAGAAAATTAAATTAAATTTTTACCTTATACAGTAATTATGTAATGACTCCTGAACACATCTATCATGAAAAATAAATTTGGTGAAATACTTGAAAAATTGGTAAAATTAAAATTAAAATCATGATATTTTCATCAACTTCATCACATGGGTTTGACTTGATCTCTGTGTCACCATGTTGTTCATCATCCTATAAGAAAATTTTCGTATATAAATAATTACAAACATTCTTAATAAATAGTTCAGATGTGAATACATAATAAAATTGACAAAATAATAACCTTGATTGAATTCAATAGTTTAAATTAATCAATCATCTCCTTATCAACACTTAGTCTCTTCACTGTATAACCTTGCCAATGGTGATCTATGTTGGATTGAGTTATTTCAATCATGAAAAGCAAATCTTTGTTCAATAATGCTTGAAACTCAATAGGAAGAACCTTTCCTTTATTTTTCTTAGGATTAAAAAATAGCAAGTTAACAACCTATGGTAAATATATTCATAATAAATAATAAGAATGAGGTATGATTTTTGACAACCTTATTTCAATAGTAGACTTTCCCAAAAACAATGTGACAACATGGTTAAACATGACAAAATTTGTGGAATCAGTGTCATCAATGACAGTGACATGCAACATGAATCTAACAAATTTTGAGGGCACAAATAAAGTTGAAGGTTAAATACTTAAATTATGTAACAAAATTAAAAGAGATAAATAGATGCATTATGCTAAAATATCATATTATATTTTTTTAATATGCATAAGTCAGATTATACCTAGTGATTCCAACAACAATCTTCTCACAATGTTCACAAAAATACTTGCTTCCAAGACTGATAACTTTTTTTTCGCACATTTGTTGCATGAATTATAATGTCAATCTTTGTGCTCATCAATTTCTATAATCTTTTCCAGAATAGTGCAGTAGCATGGCTAATTACATAATAATAAGGATTTAGTATATTAGAAAGAATAAATTTAATGATTAAATGTACTTATTACATAATAAGAGATTAATATATTTACAACAGCAACAAATTGATTAAAAACATTATTCCACATCTTAATTGAATCGAATAAGAAAAACTTGAAGTGAAGGACATGTAATGAGTTGGCAGCAAAATAAAAATGTCAAATTGGAAAAATTCAGCAACACTACATAAAAATTCATCAATTAAAAATGCAAGAATACAACATGACTACTATAGTAATTAGCCTTAAACAAAATGATTTGTACATACAAAAGTAACAGTAAGTTTTTTTAAAAAAAGATATTGAGTTGTAGGATTTGGTTAAAAAAATTGAAAGATTTGAATCAGACTAATTTCATTTGTTTTAAAATAAGGTTATTATTTGAATTATAATAGGTAAAAATAATTAAAAGAATAAAGGGAAAAAATTCATTAGCTTCTAAAAAATAACATACGTGCAGAAAAAATTATCAATGTCCTTACTAAGATCATTGACTCATTTTAATTGATTATGAAAATAATATCTTTACTAATCATATTTTTTTTTGTGAAGATGAAAATTTCAAAGAGAAGCAAAAACAAAAACTACAATACATTATCCAACAATGAAATTTATAATTGTTATAATTTATGGTAAAAAAAAGCATCTTCATCCACCAAAATCATCTCCAAGGAATTTGTTTGCAATATTGATGAGATTCCTCTTGGAAATCTCAAGATTGCTTCGAGCCTTCACGGAATTCCTTGGAAGAACTTCAAGGAAGGAGACTCCACAAAGGCTTCAATGTGACCACGGATTGCTTGTAGCTAAGTCCGTAGAAGAGATGAAGGTTCTAGCTCTACAAAGAGAAGCTCTCAAGAAGGGTAGAGACTAGAACTAGGTGACTTCGGAGGGGAGAGTTTTAAGAGAGAAAAACTCATCAAATAAATTCCAAAGTGAATTACAAGGCTTGGTCATAAGGATTTATAGGGAAAAATTAGGTCAAGGTAACCATGGGTTAGCCTAAGGTTAAGTGGAACCAAGGTAGGGTTCACTTAACCTTAGGCGCCCAAAATTTGAATTCAAAATTCAAATTTTGGAGCCTAAACCCGGATCACCCATGTGCAAGTCATTTGGAATGTCATTAGGGTTCCATTTGAGTTGCATTTCGGATCACACCATGTGCATGTGTTGCACATGGCCGAAATGCACACCAAATGTGAATCTAATTACATTCTAATGCAACTACACATGCAACCTAAATAACCCTAAATTCAAATGACCTTCAAATGAAAATCCTAAGCTAAATGGCCGTGAATACAAGGCCCAAAAGAAATACAAGGCACTAAGAAATACAAGGCTCTAAGCCCCAACCCTACACTACTAAAATACAAGAACAACAAGATAGGTCCATGTAGAACTCCACTTTGGACCTTCCAAGCCCATTGGGCCTCTTGGGCCTTTGACTGACCCAAGCCTTCATGTCTAGCCCACTCCTCTTGGATCTTCTAGGATGTCCTCTCTTGCTTTCATAACCATGATTCCATCAAATAGATTCTTAAACTCTGGCAAAACTGAATCGAATAAGAAAAAATTGAAGTGAAGGACATGTAATGAGTTGGCAACAATATAGAAAGGTCAAATTAGAAAAATTCAGCAACACTACATAGAAATTCATCAATTAAAAATGCAAGAATACAACATGACTACTGTAGTAATTAGCCTTAAACAAAATAATTTGTACATACAAAAGTGAAAGTAATTTTTTTTAAAAGATATTGAGTTGTAAGATTTAGTTAAAAAGAAAAAATTGAAAGATTTGAATCAGACTAATTTCATTTGTTTTAAAATAAGGTTATTATTTGAATTATAATAGGTAAAAATAATTAAAAGAATAAAGGGAAAAAATAAATTAGCTTCTAAAAAATAACATACATGCAGAAAAATTTATCAATGTCCTTACTAAGATCATTGACTCATTGTAATTGATTCTGAAAATAATATATTTACTAATTATATTTTTTTTTGTGAAGATGAAAATTTCAAACAGAAGCAAAAACAAAAAGTACACTATCAAACAATGAAATTTATAATTGTTATAATTTATGGGAACAAAATCTCTTCATCCACCAAAATCACCTCCAAGGAATTTGTTTGTAATGAATTCTTAAACTCTGGCAAAATTGAACTGAAAAAGAAAAAATTGAAGTGAAAGACATGTAATGAGTTGGCAGCAAAATAGAAAGGTCAAATTGGAAAAAACCAGCAACACTACATAGAAATTCATCAATTAAAAATGCAAGAATACAACATGATTACCATAGTAATTAGCCTTAAACAAAATGATTTGTACATACAAAAGTGACGGTAAGTTTTTTTTAAAAAAATATATTGAGTTGTAGGATTTGGTTTAAAAAATATTTGAAAGATTTGAATCAGACTAATTTCATTTGTTTTAAAATAAGGTTATTATTTGGATTATAATAGGTAAAAATAATTAAAAGAATAAAGGGAAAAAAATGCATTAGCTTCTAAAAAATAACATACGTGTAGAAAAATTTATCAATGTCCTTACTAAGATCATTGACTCATTGTAATTGATTCTGAACATAATATATTTACTAATTATATTTTTTTTGGTGAAGATGAAAATTTCAAACGGAAGTAAAAACAAAAACTACACTATCTAACAATGAAATTTATAAATGTTATAATTTATGAAGAAAAAAAAACCTCTTTATCCACCAAAATCATCTCCAAGGAATTTGTTTGCAATGAATTCTTAAACTCTGGCAGCCTCCACAATCTTATTATACAAACTCTTATCTTCCAGTCAATTCTCCCCGCTGCAATGTTCTTTAGTAATGTAAACCTCTGAGCCATGTCCTTTAAAAAGAAGATGAAAGTAAAAAATGATAAAATTTTTAATAATATGTTCACTATGC